CTTGCTCTTCCTCTCTCCTCAGGCCTTGTGATGTATCCTGTCAGTCACTGGCATCCCGACTTCCTTTGCTGTACATTTTCATGCAACAGCTGAGGTCTTCCCAACTCATTTCTCAGTATGTGGGTCAAATTCTAGGTGTATCTTATCACCCTTACTGCCTTTGGGGGAGTTATTACAAGAGCTAGACTTTGGAGGAATCGTTACATATCCTGATGACAGCAGAACATCTAATACCCACCTTCTCTCCAGACCTATGGACAGACCTACAACACTACAAGGCTACTGGTCGAGCAGGGTGGCCCTGACAAACTTCTAGTCTCTCCCCAGCTGGGGCAACTGCGATGCAAGAATTGGTGTCTCTGTCTGAAGTCTCACGGGCTTTGGCTGGCATGAAGAGTCTTGCACAATGGGTGTACACAGATCCACTCCCTGTCCACATAGTAGTGCCATGAGCTAGTAGCTGAGGCAAAACCTCCAAGCTCTCTGAGCAGCTGCTGGGTAGGTATCCACAGACCTCACCTAACACTCAGTAGGCACTAGATAAGTGTGACTTTCCATGTCTTCTCTCCATTCGTAGTGACTGCCACTAACACTAGAAGAATTTTTTTTTTTTTGGTCTTTTTGAGACAGGGTCTCCCTGTAGCCCCAGCTGTCCTGGAATTCACTGTGTAGACCAGGCTGGTCTTGAACTCACAAAGATCCACCTGCCTCTGCCTCCCAAGTGCTGGGATTAAAGGCGTGTGCCACCACACCCAGTTTAGAAGAATATTTTTTAAAGTAATTTCAAAGTAGCTTATGGCTTTTCATTGCTTGAAGGATAAACCTTCATAGCCTGACATTTAGCATGCTTAGTTTGCTCCACTACCTCCCTTAATCCCACACCCTCTCCTAATACCCCACCTGTTAGACATCCCTCCTCACCTTCTAATACCCCACCTGTTAGACATCCCTCCTCACCTTCTAATACCCCACCTGTTAGACATCCCTCCTCACCTTCTAATACCCCACCTGTTAGACATCCCTCCTCACCTTCTAATACCCCACCTGTTAGACATCCCTCCTCACCTTCTAATACCCCACCTGTTAGACATCCCTCCTCACCTTCTAATACCCCACCTGTTAGACATCCCTCCTCACCTTCTAATACCCCACCTGTTAGACATCCCTCCTCACCTTCTAATACCCCACCTGTTAGACATCCCTCCTCACCTTCTAATACCCCACCTGTTAGACATCCCTCCTCACCTTCTAATACCCCACCTGTTAGACATCCCTCCTCACCTTCTAATACCCCACCTGTTAGACATCCCTCCTCACCTTCTAATACCCCACTTAGACATCCCTCCTCACCTTCTTTTCAAATGCACCTGGAGTTTTCTTGCAAAGAAACACTCAATTTCTGAAGCTTCCCATCCAGAATCTGCCCCTACTATCCATTCCTGCTACACATACTATTCCAAAATCTAGGGCAGATCTCCCTTCCTTCTTCTCGTCTTCCAGGAGAGCCTAAATAAACTCAGTGGACAGAGCTGCAACCTTTGAGCCCTAACATTTATAGCTCCTACCCAAAATCTAGATTCAAAAAACTTTACCAATGGCTCTTGTTTCCTTGATATTAAGATTTTCCAATGCCGGGTGTGTTGGGGCACACCTTTAATCCCAGGACTCAGGAGGCAGAGGCAGGCAGATCTCCATGAGTTCAAGGCTAGCCTGGTCTACATAGCAAGTTCCAGGTCAGCTGCAGTTACAAGGAGACTCTGTCACACACACACACACACACACACACACACACACACACACAAAAGAAGCTTTGTTTTCCATTCAATTTAAGAAAAAGTGATGGTTACTATTAATGAGGCTTCTTGTATTTCAGATATCACACCTAGACCATTCACATACATTACCTCATTACATTTTACCTTACAACAATCTTTTGAAAGGTAAACACCATCATTCCATCTTGCAGATGAACTTACATTTCATGTGGTTAATACTTTGCCTAAGGTCATTCTGAAAATAAGCGGTGCAACAGGCTTTTTTGGAGAGTCTTTCTGTATATCCCAGGGTGGTTTTGAACGTGTGATCTTTTGCCCTAGCCTCTTGAAGGCTAGGATTACAGGTGTATGCACCACCACATACAACTCACAATGGATTTGTACCAAGGTCTTGCTTTCATAGCTCATGCTATTGACCACTTTCCTAGAGAGGTCAACAGCATCTACCACACGGGGCTCCACAGGCAGAGAGCACTCAACTACCCAAAAGCATGGATTAAGACCTGAGCACCCGAGTTAGGACTTGGCAAGTCAGGGCAGGCAGCTGGTGCCGCCTTGGCAACATGAACACTAGATCACTCCTACTGGCTTCCAGTGCCAACTGGTTTCAACAAGAGCAGCCCCTCCTCCACCCAGCTTTCAGGGGCTCACCTTCATTTTGCCATGGTCTTTGAGGTCTTCACTAGAGCTATGGCTGGCCTCTGTTAGACAGAGAAGTCCTTCACACCTGGAGATGAGTGTTTCCTCCTGGGATAGTACTTTAGGTAGTCTCCCCATGTCTCTACTTCTGCAGACAGAAGTCTAGACAGCATCACACAGTCCTTGAGGTCTAACAACTGGCAAAGCCCCTGTGGAGGAAATCTGTGACTCACTCCTAAGAGATGTCATGGGGTGCTTAGGTCTAGCTAAGGTTCTTAAAAATGCTTTTCTTGGAAAAGCAGGTGAAGGCAGGTCCTCTGCTGTAGTGGGGAGGTGAGCCTGGCAGCCAGATCTGCCACTGATAGGCTCTGACGGACTCACCTGGGTCACTTAAAAAGAAGAAAAAAAACCTTTCTTCTTTAATGAAAGCGGTAGATTACATGGGCTCTTGGGTCGAGTCCAGTCATAGGCTGCTGTGACTGGAATGCGGTAGGTTTATGGTGGGGCAGGCAGAAGAGGCTGGGAGCACCTTCTAGGTTTTGTGTATGGTTTGCTTATGGCCTTTCTAAAATCCAGGTGTTGCTAATGTGATGATGCTAAGAGGTGGGGCCTTGAGGTGTCAGGCAACCAGGGTTCCTTCCTTAATGATCTTAAAGCTCTTTAAAAATATTTTATTATTTTTATTTTATGTATATAAGCATATTGCCTGCACACATGCAAGTGCACCTGTGTCGTGCAATGTTCATCGAAGTCAGAAGAGGGCATAGGATCCCCTGGAACTGGAATTACAGAGGGTTGTTAGCTACTATGTGGGTGCTAGGAATTGAACCTGGGTCCTCTGCAAGAGCTTACAGCCCTTTTAAAGGATGCTTGACGCAACGTTTGGCTATCTGCTAGCTAGGTCTTGATCCATATGACAGAGCCACCTGCCCCTCAGATACAGTCCAGTCAGACAACTGAAGCTGCCAGTGCCCAGATCCCAGGCCTTCTAGCCTCCAGGACTATGAAAAAGAAATGTGTAATCTTTATAAATAATGAATCTTCAGGTCAGTGTAGCGACATCAATGGATTAAGAGAAGGTGCTTATCCAGGTCTGAATGTGCTTGTGGTGATGCCAGGAAGGGAAAACAGCTGTGAAGTGGAAGCCTAGACTACCGGTAAGAAGGTTCCATTTCTGAATGGAACAGCAAGGTCAAGAAAGCATGCAAGGGGCCACCGAGCTCTGAACCTGGCTCTTTAGCTGGCAGCTGAGCAATCCTCTGAGGGTAAGGAATACTCCACTCACGCCCAGCTTTGTCCCCATGCTTGACAGTAACCTTGACAACCTGAGCAAACTGCTTACTTACTTCATTTCAAGTGTAACAGTGGGTGAAGTGACCGTTCCGCTTTTGCCACCTTTGCCTGAGCGGTAGTTGTTCGGTCTTCTTGGGTGAGGGTGTCAGGCTGGCCTGGGAGAAGGGTCTTTAGCTGCCTTTGCTGGCTGGATGTGTGGGCGTGCTCTCAGAGCTAGGCATTTCTGGCATGCAAGCCCTTGTTTGCATTCTTCCAGCACCTAAAACTGACCAGGCAGGACCACAGCTCCTGTCTGGTCTCCTGGGGTTGTGACACGTCTTCCTTGCTGAGCAGCTGTGGGGATGGACTCAGGTGTGTATGGACTGAATCTTCCAAACCAGCAACCATAGACCCTAGAAGAATCCTGGTACCCAGCAGATGGGAACACACTGGAGCAAGCAGTGACCACAACCTGGGATGTGGCACACCACTTCCTTTCTCCCAGCTGACCATGAGTTCCTGTTGTCCCCACAATGAAGGGAACAGCATTTGGGTAACTTGGGCTCTGCTGAGGCTCTCCCCACTGATAAGCAGAGGTGTGCAAGGGGACAGTTTATTGTCTAAACCACATGGGAAATAGTCATAGAGATCGTTTATCAACTTACCACACACTGAATCCACATCAAAAACAACACACACCAAGCTGAGGATACAGGGTGAGCTGGGGGCAGTCTGCCAGGCTTCTATACCCTGTAGTCAGCTGTACTTGGTTCTGCTCTTCAGTCCTCTCTCCTTCCCAGATTTGGCCAGCAAACCTCCAAGATGAGCTGGTGCTGAAGCAGTCAGGTGAAGAGTGGCTCTGCAGGACAGTCCTTCCCTCTTCAGGACATCTGAAGGGCTGTGCACAAGTCCCTACCGTGGGGATCAGGTGTGGATACACAAGTATGCCTCTTGGAGGAGTGATGCCACAAAAGCTTTTCCTTGATGAATTTTGGCTTTCTATGTCAAGCACTTTGGTCCTGATTTAGGGGAGCTCAGCAGACATACTCTGTCTCCACTTTATAAACACTGGCTTTTCTCTCATGGAGTGGTGGGTTGCAGGGAGGGCAATGTTGTAGCTGTAGCACTTTCAATGTGAGTGCAGTCTTGTTTTGGGAAAACATCTAGGGGCTGGCCAAGCAAGTCCCAGTCAGCCTCTACTGGGAGCATAATTGAGGGAGGGCAGATTGATTCTACTGCCTTCCCACTCCTCCCCCACAGTGGGATTAAACTGCAATTAGGTCAAGCCCCAAGACTGCAATAACAACACATACACACATATCAAAGTACATTTAATACAGATTAAAATGTTAACATATATCATTTGACTAATAACAGACACTCGGTCACGTACAGATCACCATCCCGTTGCCCTCACACCAATGCCAACAAGTGCCTGCGGGACAGAGAAGAAAGGCACCTGGCAGGCCAAGTGCGACGTATTGATGAGCTGCTGAAAACCTGTCTTCTCTCTTCCAAACTGCCCATGTGGGGTAGGTGGAGAGGCAATTAAATTCTATTGACTGGCACAGCATCCAAAATAACCTTTAGTTTTTAGGCTGTTTATGAATTTTCTAGAGATCTGAACCCTTTTCTCATCCTTCTGGATCCTCGTACTTCAGAGAGCATAAAGACACTGGGACCTGAGGTCAGGGCCGGTCTAAGGGAATGGCTGTGACACATAGTGGGAAGGAGGTGGCTCTGGAAACCTTATTGAGGAAATGGCCACTTCTGCCACAGCAAACAAAGCTGTACATTCCAGACACGTTCTGAAATGGAATGAGCCTGTTCTGGTTTCTCTCAGGGGTGAACTTGAAAAGGAAATTGGAGTCTACAATGAATCTTCAGCATTCAGAGGGAATGACCAGGCCAAGTCAGTCCTGCTTCCATTTACCTCAGGTGAAGAATATGACACCGAGAGGCCGGGAGGACTGAGCTCAGCTGGAGACAAGATTTGGCTTGGGGCCATGGAAGCTGTTCAGCATGGCTGGGGCACTTGGGCAACTGAACCAGGGCTGCTCATTCTTATGGACGGAGATGGAGGCAGAAGCCTGTCAACTTAAAAACCCCTGGATGCCACCCTCTTAAGTACCATCTTCCTGAGACACAACCATGGGAAGTTTACAGGAGCATCTGACACTGGGGTCCACATAAACCTCCATCCTGGCATACAAGACACAACCACCTGGAGGAGGGCTGCCCGGGCACTGAGGAAGGGGGCTGCCTCCATGGGATTTCCTGGAGGAGGGCTGCCCGGGCACTGGGGAAGGGGGCTGCCTCTATGGGATTTCCTGGAGGAGGGCTGCGCGGGCACTGGGGAAGGGGGCTGCCTCCATGGGATTTCCTGGAGGAGGGCTGCGCGGGCACTGGGGAAGGGGGCTGCCTCCATGGGATTTCCTGGAGGAGGGCTGCCTGGGCACTGGGGAAGGGGGCTGCCTCCATGGGATTTCCCCAGGCATTCATTCCCACGTGGAGTTTAATGCTGCTCCTTTCCACAGCCTGGCTGGGCCCTTCCCTCCAGCCCACTGCACCTTGTAGTTTAAGGTACAGGCAATGACTAGGCTGATGACCACTGTGACTGACTTGTATTTGGTCCCCAGTGCAGGTGATGTTAAGATCCTGACTTCAGCATGAACAGACCACAGTTAGAATTAGTGAGGGAAGAAGAAGGCCGGACCTTCTGAAGGTGTTGCTCGCAGTCCTTCAGTGGAAAGGTTTTCCATGTATTAAAAAAAGGGACATTTTTTTTCCAGAGGGAGACTGAAAACACTCTTAAAATGACACTCTTAAAAAGTCAATGGTGTCCACCATCAGAAAGTATTCTAAGTTTCTAATCTCTGTTTGGCCTAGAAAAGGTACCATCCCCAAACCTACCTCCTTTAGTGTGGTATCTACTGATTGGTCTGATCAAAACCACCCTGTTCATGAGAATGATTTCTATATTCAATACCTTAAGAGGATGCCAGTGAGGTGGGTCCCTGTGAGGAGACACTCAATTACTTTGCAATCAGGTGATTTAACATCCTACATCAGTTGTAAAGAAACCTGTGCATCTCCTGTGGAGATTGTGTGGCACATGCCTCAGAGTCATATGAAAAATATATCTTCCAGAATCTGATTCTCTGCCAGGTCTTCAGGGCTTCTGCATGCCCCCATTTTTTTCCAGGATGATTTCTGAGGGCTAGGTGGGAAAGCACTGCGGTTCCAGGCTCCAGCTGCTCTGGAATGGTGGGGCTGAGGTTTGGGAGCAGAATTTGGGCTCAGAGACTGAACCAGATCGAATAGAGATGTCTCATACCTGTAAAACAGCCCATACAGGAAAAGATCAGACCATTAGAACAGTAGGATCCCCCAGAGGTGGGCTGCCCAGGGCAAGAATTAGATCACAGATCCCATCACAAGCAATAGCTTTGGGAAACTCCAGGGAGGTGTGGCTAGAATTCCCTCTGGGTCTCCTGTGCCATCAGACAAACCATATAATATATTTTATGTGAGTTTATTAACTTACAAAGGAATGAGAACCCAGTGCCTAGCTCCCCCCTCTCCACCCAGAGCCCATCTTATCAGACTTCCCCCAGGCTACCATAGTCTCTGCTAATATTGTCTCAGGCCTCAAGGGCCAGCGATCTTCCCCAAGTCTACTGGAGCCAGTCCATTCTGTCTTTGGGCTACTGCAGCTGGCTGTGCGTTCCCCACACCACCTGCGCTACCCTCGGCTTCCCTCCCCCGGCAGCCCCTTGTAGTCCAAGCTCCTTGTCAGGCCCCGCCCATTGGAGGAACCAGCCAATCGGGAGACAGAAGGTAAACTCCAGAAGGGCTTCAAGACAAGGTCCCTGCTACTGCCTGAAAGCTTTCCTCTTCTGCCAGCCTCCAGTGGACCTTTTGATCTCACGAAGAGACTGGAGAGTAGGAAAAGCAGTCATGACAGTGGCGACACCACCTATGGAAAACCAAGTGGAGGCAGACAGCAGCTCTGTCAGCCGGAGTGTGCAAACTTCTCTAATGTAGGACAGCATGACTTTTATTTCAGTAGGGTCCCTGGCTTTCTTTCATATCACCAACACTCCCCATTTCCTGTAAGGACTTAGTCCACAGCCCCCATTCACTCTTATGACCTTTATTAGCGTGTACATGTTCTTGACCACCAAACACAGCTATCACCCTCGCCCCAGAGTTCCAGACTCACATAGTCAACTGCAGTCTGATGTCCTTATTCAGAAGTGTGACAGGCACGTCAAAAGATCCAAACTAGAACTTTTACTCTTTTCTGCAATCCTAATTCTTTCCATCAGTCTAGTTGTATAGACTAAAAACGGGTTATTCAGTCTGAAGAGATGGCTCAGCAGTTAAGAGCACTACTGCTCTTACAGAGGATCTGAGTCTGGTTCCTAGCACCCACGTTCGGTGGCTCCCAACCACATGTAACTCCAGGTCCAGGGTGATCTAATGCCACTGGCCTCTGCAGCACTTGTCCTCACATACCCTCCCATAACACGATTAAAAACAACATAAACAACTCTTAGACATGTTATCCTTGATGCCTACCTCTGAGTCTTGGCAAGTGTTGTGCCCTCTGCTTAAGAGCCTCTTCCAGATCTTTCGTTTTCTTCATCCGTGAATGTTTGTTTAACATCACCTCGTCAAAGAAGGCCTTCTAAAACAACTATCGCTTCGTGGTCACTTTGCTTTACGGCATTTCATTTTCCTTCTATTACTCAGTATTACTTATCTATTATAATTATTGTTGTATATAGACACATATACTATTTACTGCTTGCCTCCCTCAGTTGTATGGAGGGCTCCAGAGGGTAGGGTCATGATTTTGTTTAATGCTCCTATCTGTAGTAGCGAATGGTATCTGGTACAAGGTATGTTCCATTTGTGGAAGAAATGATGATTTCCTGGTCTAAGTTTAAGTACCTTCCTCTCTAGACAGCTTTAAAAGTCATTGCATAATAATTAGTCCTTAAAATTCATTATATATTTCAAAATGTTATAAAAAATATTGTCCATCCATAAAGAGGACCACACACACTAGTATCCATTCATAAAAATGAAAACTATGTGCACGCAGTTTGCATAAAATGTTTTTTCACCAAAATATACTGTAGCCATTTTCTTATATCAACAGCCAATATTATTTTTAATGGCCAGACTATATCATTTTCTGGATATATGCTATTTAACCAACCCCCTATTGAAGAGACTTAATTAATCTCAAAAGTTTTTTGAGACTATATAATTTCTTCAGTGAATGTCTAAAAAGTACTGCTCACCCTACCTAGTCTATCACATCAGCAACATTCTGCTGTCCCTGTGAGGACTGGAACTTCCTCCTTTATTTTCATCTCTCCTCCCACTTCCGATGGTCTCAGGAGTCTGTGTCATGTTATATTCTACTAAATTTTACACTCCCTCCAGAGTGTTTTCTCGTTTTAACTGCAGCTGGACTCTTTCTTGAGGTCATTCTAGGTAGAAACGTTCATGTGCACCAAACCCCTGGAGAGATTCTGTGTGCTTGAGCCAGGAGCTGGTGTGGGCATTGCCACCGTGTTCTTGCTTTCTGACCATCACATCCCAGGTCTCTAAAATGCCTGCTTTCCTGGGCATCCTGTCTACTGCGCTCCACTTCTCTTATCTGTGCCCTCTGTGGACCTACCTGCTTACTTAGTCACTGAAGATCAAGCCCCAATCCACTGTCCTCCCTCCTCCAATACAACTGTCACCACCACCCCTGCTACTATCAACATCGCAAGAATGAAACTCAAGCAACACTCTGACTTCTAAAGTTCTTTGATCTTCTCTCAACATTGAAGACTGTCTCAGCAAGCCTTTCCCATAGTTGTAGCCTAGAACTTGTCATCATTTAAATCTGCATCTCACCAGGGCGGTGGCTCCTATCTGAAATCCTAGCATTCAGGAGGCTGACACGGGAGGATTAGACTGCAGGAAGTTCAAGGCCAGCCTGGGCTATATAATCAGTTCTTACCAGCCTAAGCTACAAAGTGAGGCCCTGTCTCAAACAAAGGAAACAAAACAAAGTAATCCCCATATCTTTTCTGAATTCAGTCATTCAAATCTCCCTCTATGTCCTGATACCCATATTCTTCCCTTCAAGCCTGGGTTTTCAACTATTCCCATATTTCTGTCCACTAGACTCATGAAATAGTTAATTATAAAAGTTATTGTTCTAAAAACAGGGCATAAAGTGGCGGTAGGGGCAAGAGAGCCCAATCCCTGTCCCAGTGACACACTTTCTTCTCGAATCTTTCTCCTCTACCCAACTTCACTTCATGGTGTAGCAGTTCAGTTGTTCCCTTGACATGCTTTCACTAGATAGGGGCCTTTTTTGGGAGGGGATACATGTAAGGGTTCAGTGGATGGCAGAGTATAGGCAAAATTAAAGTAGTGAGGAGGAACACTGTGAGTGGAAAGGCTTAAGCAGGGAGAAACGTGGGTGTATGGGGAAACTGGGGGTAAAGAAGAAGGCTAACCCAAAGGAAAGGGGGTGTGAAAAGCCGTATGGAAGCCTACCATTTCACAACCCAACTTAGAAAAGAAGTGGAAGAATGATGCTGAGGGTTAAAAGATTACATGAGGTGGGGTAGGAAGGGTTGTGCATCAGCTGCCCCAAACTAAGGGTCCATGAAAAGCCTTATGGAAACTCACTGGTTAGTAAGCTAATTTCAAAACACAACTAACTAAAATAAGAGTTTGAATGGAATTATCCTGCATGGGTGGACAGTGTTGCTCCCAGTAGACATGGTTTATTAAAAGAAAATAACAGGGAACCTCCCTACAACTTATTTGTCAGGGAGGTCCCAGAGGACTCCCCAAACCATAAGCTATTGCCTTTGTCCTGGTTTCCCACAGTAACTACACAGCAAGATCCTACTGCTTAAGATTCCCCCTGCCCCCTGCGCCCCAACTTTGGCTGCAGGATATAAAGAAATCAATCTCAAACTGACTGGGAAGCTCCCTCCCTGCTGGCTGGCAGAGGAGCTACTGTGGGGGAAAAGTAAGTGGTCTTGCTCAGCATCAAAGGCTTTCAGAAATCCCTTTGAAAGACAAGGGTTAAAAACAAATAAACAACATGAGAAATTTTCATCGTAGAGATTATAGGAACTTTAAAGAGTTTTCTTTAAAATGTTCTTTTTCTGTTTGTTTGTTTGTTTGTTTGTTTGTTTTTGAGACAGTGGCTCCCTGTAGCCCTAGCTGGTCTAGAATTTGGTATGGAGACCAGGCTGACCTCAGTCTCACAGAAATCCTCCTGCCTCTGCCTCCTGAGTGCTGGAACTAAAGGCCACCATGGCTAGCTTAAAATGTTCTCATTAAAAATGACATTTTTATTGATTCTTGGAGCATCCCATACAGGTATTTGATCATACTCAGATCCCCTCTCCCTTCTCCACACCATAGTACACCAGTATACTTCATGCCCTCTACTGTTATTATTTTCTTTTTTACAGGCCTATCAAGTCTAATTTATGTTCAACAAATGCTCTTGGCTGTAAGAGTCTATCCCTTGAAGTCTGGTCAGTCCACTGGGCATATCTAATGATCTATCAATCAATTTATCTAATGATCTATCAATTTATCTAATTATCTATCAATTTATCTAATTAACTATTTTGGAGACAAGAGTCTCACAGAATCACCCGTCTCTGCCTCTGCCTCTGCCTCCTGAGTGCTGAGATTAAAGGTGTACGTCACTGATTCCAGAAAAACATTCTTTCACAAAGTTTTTCCTTACAAACTATGGTTAATAAATGCAGAAGAAACAACAATTAAAAACAAACCATCATTCTGTAACCCCTACTCTAGCCAATAATCATCAATGGCTTCCACAGCCAAAAAGTGAACAAATGCTCTTGGCTGTCTAAGAGTCTATCCCTTGAAGCCTGGTCAGTCCACTGGAGCTTTTTTTTTTTGAATTTATTATTTTTATGTGCATGTGTGTATTGCCTGCATGTAGGTAAGTGCACCCCTGTCGTGCAATGTTCATAGAGGACAGAAGAGGCTGTCAGATCCCCTGGAACTGGAGTTACAGACAGTTGTTAGCTGCCATGTGGGTGCTGGGATTCAAACCCGGGTCTTCTGCAAGAACAGCCAGTGTTCGTAACCGTTGAGCCATCTCTCCAGGCTTGATGGGGCCCTCTATAACAGCTCAGGATGACATCATTTAGGTCTCATTGATCCTTCTTAAAATATCTAATGGAAGGACAACCAGTACCTAGTTTGTTCCTGATTATGTAGCAACAGAAAATACATGGTATGACTTATGAAAGAGCCTTGCTA